CCTTTAGATTCCACTGCCCTCACCCAGAAAATGAGAAGCTAAATGAAGCCACCTCTAAGGAGCCTTCCAGCTATCATGGGTTAGGATGAGATGCTCTCTCCCTTGTCTGAATGCATGTGACATTGGTGATCTGCATTTAACACACTGATAACTGTGTTATTTCTCAATGGTCTGACTGCCACTTGTTTTCACTGTGTAGGCTCTGCCTCCCTTCCTGGAGTTACTCTATTCGTTTTATTACCTTCGACAAATCCTGACTGAGGAGCTGATGTGCACCAGATGTGGTTGTAGGTGCTGGGTGGAAGGCACAAACTGCCTGCTCATCTAGATTTTACAGTCTTCTTGGGGTGCCAGGTCGGGGAGAGAGAGACAGCAAACAGGTGGAAAAGACAATATGTCATGCTATGACGGGTTGTGATAGGTGCAATGAACTAAATAAAACAGGGCAAAAGGACGGCAAGTAACTGTGGCCTGGGGACTCTATTTTTGGAGTCAGGGAAGGCCTTTTTTTTTTTTTTTTTGAGACAGGGACTTGTTCTGTCACCCAGGCTGTAGTGCAGTGGTGCAATCACAGTTCACTGCAGAGTCGACCTCCTGGGCTCAAGCCATCCTCACACATCCTGAGTACCTGGGACTAAGGCGTGCACCACCATGCTCTACTACATTTAAAAAAAAATTATTTTTTGGTAGAGATGAGGTATTGCTTTGTTGCCCAGGCTGGTTTCAAACTCCTGGGCTCAAGCAATTTTCCTGCCTCAGCCTCCCAAAGTGCTGGGGTTTCTGGTGTAAGCCACTCTACCTGGCCCATTTTTCTATTTTTATTTATTTAGAGATGGAGTCTCACTCTGTTGTCCAGCCTGGAATGCAGTGGTGCAATCTCGGCTCACTGCAGCCTCCACATCCCAAGATCAAGTGATTCTTCTGCCTCAGCCTCCCAAGTAGCTGGGACTACAGTTGCCCACTATCCTGCCCAGCTAACTTTTGTATTTTTAGTAGACATGGGTTTCAACACGTTGGCCAGGCTCGTCTCAAACTCCTGACCTCAAGTGATCCACCTGCTTCAGCCTCCCAAACTGCTGGGATTACAGACATGAGCCACCATACCCAGTCCCATTTTTCTGTTGTTTAAATTGGAGTATAACTGATCTACCATATGATGCACAGTTTTTAAGTGTTCAATTGATAAGCTGTGACAATTGTACAGACCTGTGGTGATTTTAAAACATGTCTGAAAATTCTGAGACTGTTCCCACCTTTCCCACTGTTTCCATCCCATCCATTATTTTATTTTATTTTATTTTTTGAGACGGAGTCTCACTTTGTTACCGAGGCTGGAGTGCAGTGGCACAATCTTGCTCACTGCAAACTTCACCTCCCAGATTCCAGCAATTCCCCCTCCCGAGCCTCCCAAGTAGTTGGGACTGCAGGTGTACATCAGCATGCCCAGCTAATTTTTTTGTATTTTTAGTAGAGACAGTGTTTCACCATATTGGTCAGGCTGGTCTTGAACTCCTGACCTCAGGTGATCCACCTACCATGGCCCCCAAAGTACTGGGATTACAGGCATCAGCCCCCATGCCCAGCCCCATCGCTTGATTTTAGACTGGCCTTGGTGACTTCATGTCAATGCACACAGTGCGGCAGAAGGGGCGTGATGGGATTTCTAAGACTAGGTTAGACAAACAAAACAGTTTCCACCTGGCACATGCTCGCCTGTGCCTTCTCTCTCTCTCTCTCTCTCCCTCCCCCCGCACCCCCCCCACCAGCCTCATGCTTATCCTCAGAACCCACACAACTGCACTGTGAGGAAACCAAGTGACCCCAGACAGGCCATGTGTAGGCAGGTGTTCCAGCCACAGCTGAAGTCAGCCAACAGCTAACACCAACCACCAAATATGGGACTAAATGACGCTTTGGATAATCGAAGCGCGTAGCCTTCAAGTTTTCTAGCTGAGACCCCAGACATCACAGAACACTCTGTCCCCACTGTGCCCTGTCCAAGTTTCTGTACTGCAGAAATCCCTACATAATAAAGAATAGTTTTCTTCAACTAAGCTTGGGAGCAATTTGTTACGCAGCAATCGATAACAGAAAAAAAATCTGTGTAGTTAACACCCCAAATGTAGAACATTTTCATGATCCCAGAAAGTTCCCTTAGGCCCCTCCCAGGCAATTTCTCCTCCACCCAGAGACACCGCATTCTTCTTCTACTGGCATTAATTAGTTTTGCTTATTCTAGAGAGGAAAGGCCCTTTGGACAAGATGCTCCTTGATTGGACGCCTGTGAGAAGTAAGGAAGTGATTGTGTGGGTCAAGGTCCACGGGATCCAAGCAGAGGAAACAGCCACTGCCGGGGCCCCCAGACAGGAATGCGAACAGTGAGGCTGAGAAACAGTGGAGACTAGAGGGACTGCATGGACTGAGCACAAGAGCGAGGCCAGAAGAAGGGGCAAGGGTCAGATTAGGCTTTCTAATTCTCCGGGAGAGGAGAAGCTGTTCATAAGATTTACGTTTTGTTTTTGTAGGTTTTCTTTTCTTGAGACAGGCTCTTGCTTTGTCACCCAGGCTGCAGTAGAGTGGTGTGATCGGAGTTCACTGCAATCTCAAACTCCTGGGCTCAAGTGATCCTCCTGCCTCAGTCTCCAGAGTAGCTGGGATTATAGCGGTGCACCACCGTGCCTGGCTAATTAAAAAAAAATTTTTTTTTGTTGCCTAGGTTGGTCTTAAACTCCCAGGCTCAAACGATCATACCTCTTTGGCCTCCCAAAGTGCTGGGATTAGGTTACAGGCATGAGCCACCACACCTGGCCAGGAATTTATGAGATTTTAAAAGGAAGTCTCTAGAAGCTATGGGGGGTAATGGTGGAAGCAGAGAGGCCTGTGTGGTGGATTAATGATGACCACAAACTCCTTGCCACTCTTTTCCATTGAAAGGTGGATACCATTTCTCACTACTTAACTTTGAGCTGATCCTGTGACTGCTTTGACTAAGGGAATGTACAGAAGTGACTCCCTAGGCTGTGATTTGAGAAATATGCAGTTTGGGGTGGGCACAGTGGCTCACGCCTGTAATCCCAGCACTTTGGGAGGCCGAGGAGGGCAGATCCCAAGGTCAAGAGGTTGAGACCATCCTGGCCAACATGGTGAAACCCCATCTCTACTACAATACAAAAAATTAGCCCAGCATGGTGGTGGGTGCCTGTAGTCCCAAACTACTCAGGAGCCTGAGGCAGGGGAATTGCTTGAGCCAGGGAGGCGGAGGTTGCAGTGAGCCAAGATTGAGCCACTGCACTCCAGCCTGGTGACAGAGCAAGACTCTGTCTCAAAAAAAAGAAAAAGAAAAGAAAAAAAAAAATCCAGTTTCCCTTTCAGTGCCAGGAATGTTTCCACTTAGAACCTACCCACCACGCTGTGAGGAAGCCCAAGCAGTTATGTGGAAAGGTGAGACCAAGGTGGAGAAGAATCAAGGCCCCTGGCCAACAGCTACAGCTGAGCCTCCACCGAGTAGTCGTCCCCAAATCCCAGCCCATTGGAGTGAGGCCATACTTATCCTTCCAGCCACCTAGTACCCTAAATGACATCACATCAAGCTGTGTAACTACCTGATCAACTTACAGAATCATGGGAAATAATAAATGAAGTGCTGTTGCTTTGAGCCACTAAATTTCAGGTTATTACACAGAAATAGAGAACTGAAACAACCTATGAGGAGGCTGTTAGTCCTGATGGGAGATAATGGTGGCTTGGTCTAGGTTAGTAAGGAGGGAGGCAGTGAGGAAAAAGATGACAGGATTTGTAACTGGAGTATGAGAGAAAGAAAAAACAGGAATGAAACCAACAATTTAGGGCTTGATACTTGGAGGAATGAAGTTGTCACTTATTAAGACAGGAAGAATGACAGAGGGACAGGCTTAGGGGAGAAATCAGGGATTCAAATTGGAACTTGTTAAGTCTGATATTTCCGTTAGACTTCCAAGTGGAGATGCTGAGTAGGCAGGTGGGTCTGTGAGTCTGAAATCCAGGGGAGAAATGTGGGCTGGACACTTAAATTTGGAAGTCAGTAGCATACAAGTGGATTTAAAGCTAGAAATATGGAGTTCTGGAGCCCCAAGGTACTGGAGTGCCGAGGTACATGTTAAAAAAGGAAGAGAAGCGTTCTGAGCCCCGACATACTCCAATATTGTGAACTCTAACGGATAAGGAGAAATCTCAAAGGAGATCGACAAGGACAGCCTGCGAGATGGGAAAGAGTGTGTCCTGGAGGCCAAGAGAATATGTTTCAAGAAGAGAGTAGGCTGGGTGTGATAGTTCATGTCTATAATCCTAGCACTTTGGGAAGCCAAGGAGAGTGGACCTGAGGTCAAGAGTTCAAGACCAGCCTGGTCAACATGGTGAAACCCTGTCTCTACTAAAATACAAAAAGAAAAAATTAGCTGTATGCTGTGGTGCATGCCTGTAATCCCAGGAGGCTGTGGCAGGAAAATCACTTGTAATTTGTAGCACAATTCAGGAGGCAGAGGTTGTGGTGAGCCGAGATTGTGCCACTGCTTTCCAGCTTGGGGGCAACAGAACAAGAATCCATCTCAAATAAATAAATAAATAAAAATTAAAAAATAAAAACTAGCCAGGCTTGGTGGTGTGCACCTGTAATCTAGCTACTCAGGGAGGCTGAGGTGGGAGGACCGCTTGAGCCCAGGAGTTTAAGACTGCCGTGAGCTTTGATTCATTCCACTGCACTCCAACCTGGGCAACAGAATAAAACTCCATCTCAAAAAAAAAAAAAAAAAAGGATGGTTAAGTCAACGTGGTATGTTAATATAGAAATACTCTAGCAATTTTTAAAGACCAAGGTAGATCTATAGATAGTAACAGTTTATAATTTGTAGCAGTTTTGTAACTAAAACCATGAAATTTTACTTTCTAAATGTAAGCATATGTTTGTAAATGCACACCAAAACATCTCTAAAGATACTTAGCTATTTATCATTTGAATATTATAGAACAAGAATCTACTCATCTTATACATGGGCATTTAAAAATTTGGTAGAGAAACTAGAAGAAAATGAAGCTAAATATTTACAACACTGACTTGGAAAGGTAAGATTTCAGTGTTCATTTTCCCCTGTGTTTTTATTTTTCCACTAAGAACATTTTAGAATGATTATTTCCATGGGAAAAAAGACAATGGTGAAATAACAATGGGCCAAGCAACACGCACACACACACACACACATGCACACACGCGCGCACACACATATGCGCCCACACACACACACACACGCACACACACACAAGATGTGCTCATTAAAGGAGATAAAATTGCACAGTGAGAGTTCCTGAGCATGTTCTAGAATCTTCTCCACATTAAGTATAAATCCTTCCCAGAGAGTCTGTATATGGCGGCAGGGGTAGAAAAGGGGACAAGGGTCTCTGAAATCAATGTTCTTTGGGGACCCAGAATTTGAATAGTAGTCTAATAAGGCCAGGTGGTAGGAACATTTCTGTGGGGCCAGTTGTCTTGATCCAGAGAGAAAACAGGTTCCACAGACAACAACTGTGTAGCTAGGACCAGCCTTGCTACGATCTGAAGCTGTTGGCCACAGGGGGGACTGATCAACACCCCCAACTTATTGTAGGTGGATGGAGTTGCACCTCCGCCGGCTGCCAGGCTGCTAAGGTTTCCCTTCCTTCTCCCTCTGCTTCTGCTCCTGCCTGGCTGCTCAGCAGGCAGGGTTGGAATGCAAACTGCCTGCCTCTGCACAGAGATGGTGTGCTCTGTCTCGCTCTGTCCCCTTTTTGTAATGCTCATCTTCTGAGACCAGGGGAAGTAAAGTCACAGTCCTCCCTTGAGTGAGGGCTGCCCACTTTTTCACTAGTGCTAGTTTGGGGTCCCGGCCTCCACATTCCCATCTCTAATTTCCTCATCCTCTGGATTTTAATGGTCCTGGTTACACATTAACTAACCAATGGCCTTGGACCCTGGCAGCCCTCAAAGGTGAGAGTGAGAGACTATGGGGTGTGTCTGGACACTGTAAACAGAAAGTGAAGTCTGAACATTAACACCAATTTGTTAAGACCTGGTTCCCAATCCAAGCCAAAGATCCTGGATGGGACCAAAAGAAAGAAATGCTGAGATTAAAAGAGAGCTCACTCTCAAGGCTAGAAGATTCAAGAGAACAAACAGTGCCCTGGGGCAGGGGGATGGGGGAGACAAAGAAATTGCTTTGCCATCTGAATAAAACAGTTCACACATTGATTTTATTTGGGAGTGAGGAGATACTGACAGTGACCTCTCAGCACACAAGACGGTTAGTAGTGTCTCACATCAGGAAAACAGAACACCTATGCTTTTAAAAAACTTGTTTATTTTGAAATAATTTCACACTCTCAGAAAAATTGCAAGAATGTACTCAGAATGCCCAGAAACTCTTCATTCAGTTTGATGATGATGCGTAAACATTTCGCCACATTCATTTTATCGTTCTCTCTCACACATACATGCACATATTTTTCTGAACCACTGAAGTAAAGTTAGTGCTATACTTCGGATGTTTTTCCCCAAACTTCATGTTAAAATTTGATCCTCAAAGTTGTTGGAGGTGGGGTTAAACCGGAGGTGCTTGGGCCACACACGACGGATCTGATGCCCTGGAGGTGGGGTGAGTGAGTCTCACTGTTAGTTTCCACTAGCTCTGGTTGTTAAAAAGAGTGGGCCCCTCCCCCCATCTCGCTGATTCAGCAGCCATGTGATCTCTGCGCAGCCAGCTCCCCTTTGCCTCCCACCATGAGTAAAAGCAGCTTGAGATCCTCCCAGAAGCTGAGCAGATGCTGGCACCATGCTTCTTCTACAGCCTGCAGAACAGAGTCAAATAAACCTCTTTTTTTTATAAATGACCCGGCCTCAGTCGGGTACAGTAGCTCATACCTGTAATCCTAGCACTTTGGAGGCTGAGGTGGGTGATTGCTTGAGCTCAGGAGTTTGAGACCAGCCTGGGCAACATAGTAAGACCCTATCTCTACTAAAAAAAAAAAAAATTCACCTGGCGTGGTGGCACATGCCTGTAGCCTTTAGTCCCAGCTACTCAGAAGGCTGAGGTGGGAGGATCACTTGAGCCCAGGAGGCAGAGGTTGCAGTGAGCCAAAATTGTACCACCTTAAGTGACAGAGTGAAACTCCATCTCAAAAAATTACCTGGCCTCAAACATTTCTTTACAGCAGCTCTAAACAGACTAAGACAGAGAGATCACACTGCCCTTTATCCCTGAACATCTGACAGCACTAGTCTGGGTTCCAGGCCTCTACATTCCCATCTCTAGTTTCCTCATCCTCTGGATTTTAATGGCCCTGGTTACACATTAACTAAGAACAAATAAATTCACGTACATAACTTCTGTTCAGTTACCAAAATCAGGAAAACTACTGATACATTGTTATTACTAAATAAACAGTCCATATTCAATTTTTGTCCTTTGTCCCTAATAATGTCCTCTACAGCAGTGTTTCCAGTCTGGGACCCCGGGCCACACATTTACACTGAGGCTGTTGGGACTCTTTACCCTCCCTCCATCTGGGACTGTTCCTTCTTCCTTCTTTGCCTTTCTTGACCTTAATTTTTTTCTTTCTTTCTTTCTTTGTTTTTTTTTTCCTGAGACAAAGTCTCGCCCTGTTGCCCAGGCTGGAGTGCAACGGTGCAATATTGGCTCACTGCAACCTCCGCCACCCAGGTTCAAGTGATTCTCCTCCCTCAGCCTCCTGAGTAGCTGGGATTACAGGTGCCTGCAACCATGCCCAACTAATTTTTTTGTATCTTTAATAGAGATGGAGTTTCACCATATTAGCCAGGCTGATCTCGAACTCCTGATCTCGTGATCAGCCCGCCTCAGCCTCACAAAGTGCTGGAATTACAGGCATGAGCCACCCTGCCCCGCCCCACCTTAATGTTTCTTAAAAGTGCAGAACAGCTCTTTTGTAGGCTGTTCCTCAATGTGAGCTTGCCTGATATTTCCTCCTGATTAGTTTTAGAACCGCACAGCAGCAAACCTGCTCTCTGTATAGTGCGTTGAAGGTCAACATGTTCCCATTGCTAGTGGCACTAACTTTGATCTCTTGGTTAAGGTGGTGACTATCAGGTTTCTCCACTGAAAGGTCATTATTTTTTTCTTTGTAATTAATGAGTAATTTGAGAGTGAATATTTTGAGAATATGTAAGTGCCCTGTTCTTAATCATACGTTCATGCACTAGTTTTAACATCCATTGATGATTCCTGTGTGACTCAATATCATGATGGTAGCAAAACAATGATGTTTCTTTTCTCTTTCTTTCTTTTTTTTTTTTTGAGACAGAGTCTCACTCTGTCACCCAGGCTGGAGTGCAATGGCGAGATCTCAGTTCACTGCAACCTCCTGGGTTCGAGCGATTCTCCTGCTTCAGTCTCCTGAGCAGCTGGGATTACAGGCATGTGCCACCACACCTGGCTAATTTTTGTACTTTTTAGTAGAGATGGATTTTGCTGTGTTGGCCAGGCTGGTCTCGAACTCCTGGCCTGAAGTGATCCACCTGCCTTGGCCTCCCAAAGTGCTGGGATTGTAAGCGTGAGCCACCACATCCAGCCAAAAATGGTGATGTTTCTAATTTAATCATTCTTTCTACATTTATGACTTAAATAGGACAGACATAAAAGGTTTTTCTTTTTTGTTGTCGTTGCTGAGACGAAGTCTTGCAGTGGTGCAATCTGGGCTCACTACAACCTCTGCCTCCTGGGTTCAAGTGATTCTCCTCCCTCAGCCTCCTGTGTAGCTGGGATTACAGACATGCATCACACACTGGGCTAATTTTTTTTTTTTTTTTTTTTTTTTTTAGGAGTCTCCCTCTGTCACCAGGCTGGAGTGCAGTGGCATGATCTCAGCTTACTGCAACCTCCGCCTCCTGGGTTCAAGGAATCCTCCTGCCTCAGCTTCCCGAGTAGCTGGGACTACAGGCCTATCCACCACACCCCGCTAATTTTTTGTATTTTTAGTAGAGATGGGGCTTCACTGTATTGGCCAGCGTGGTCTCAGACTCCTGACCTCAAGTGATCTGCCTGCGTTGGCCTCCCAAAGTGCTGGGATTTACAGGCTTGAGCCACAGTGCCCGGCCAGAAGGGAAAGCTCTTCATAGGAGAATGCCAACTAGTAATGTATCACTGCTATCTACAAATACACACACATATATACATATTCATAATGTACTAAAATAATGTACGCTATATATACTTATATATGGTATACATTATACTATGTAGTATATTTACTACTATACACACACATGTAATATACTAAAAATATATATTTATATTACCATTTATACATAGAATACATTATACTATGTAGTATAATGCAGTGTATTAACATATGCTACTATACACACATAAATAATATACACAATATAGTAATAATGTATATGTATATATGCTTGATATAAGCTACTATATATAGCTAATATAGTTATTTATAAATTATATAATATTACTGTATTATAGTTATATATAGCTATATTATATATAGTTATATATTAGTTATATAGTTTTTTATATACATACACACACACACTTTATGTGTGTGTGTGTGTGTATAACCACGGACAGATGGATTCTTCTTTTATCTATAGGTTATAATTGCTGTCATTGTTTTTCTGACTTATTTTATTTTGTTTTTTTAAATAGAGACAAGATTTCTCTGCCATCCAGGCTGGAGTGCAGTGGCACAATCATAGCTCACTGCAGCCTCCAATTCCTGGGCTCAAGATATCCTCCCACCTCAGACTCCTGAGTAGCCGGGACTATAGGCACTCATCACCATGCCTAGCTAATTAAAACAATGTTTCTTCTGTAGAGATGGGGTCTATGTTGCCCAGGCTGGTCTCAAACTCCTGGCCTCAAGGGATCCTCCCACCTCAACCTCTCAAAGTACTGGGATTATAGGCATGACCCTCTGAGCCTGGCGTTATTTTGGCTTATGTTAATGTTCGCGTTGCCTCAAATGTGGTCAATGGGAGCCCCTTCACATTAACTCCTGAATCCTTTTGGTGTTTCCAGCCTTTTCAGAATTTGCCCGTTTCTTCTCGCACAATAAGATGTTCCAGGCTCATCATGCATTTTCCCTGGGCCAGCTCTGGAATCAGCCGTTTCTCTAAGTTGCCCTGTAAGTCTATATGTTCAGAAATGAAATTAGCCCGTCTAAAGCTCTCAAAAGTGTGCTGGCTGCTCTGGTGGGGTATCCACTAAGCTTCCCCACTAACATGCCATATACAATTAAATTTTATCTCATTTATTTTATCTTAATTATTTGTAATATAACATACTGTAAAATGATTGTTTATTAAAAGAGAAACTTTTTCTTTCTTTTTTTTTTTTGAGATGGAGTCTCACTCTGTCGCCCAGATTAGAGAGCAATGGCGTGATCTTGGCTCACTGCAACCTACACCTCCCAGGTTAAAGCGCTTCTCCTGCCTCAGCCTCCTGAGTAGCTGGAATTACAGTTACTTGCCACCTCGTCCAGCTATTTTTAGAAATATGTATTTTTAGTAGAGAAGGGGTTTCACCATATTGGTCAGGCTAGTCATGAACTCCTGACCTCAGGTGATCTACCCACCTCACCCTCCCAAAGTGCTAGGATTACAGATGTGAGCCACCACGCTCGGCCTAGAAGAGAAACTTTTGATTTACTCCATATGTTTAAATGTCTTATAAAAGTTAGAATAAAATTTAGTTTCCTACCTTTTGTTTTTGTGCAAAATTAGTAATTGCAGCCACCTTATGGGGTGACTAAGCTTCCGTGAGCTGATCTAGACACTCAGCCATCGTGTAGAATGTTGATTGCATAGGAAGATGTGTTCTGAGCGTGAAACAACCAATTTATAAATGGACTTCAGAAGATCGCTATTTATAAGATGGGTTCACAGGTAGTCGAACTAGTCAGTGAAGTTTAAATAAATTCTCCTTCATTCCCCCCAATTTTTTTTTTTTTGAAACATAATCTTGCTCTGTTGTGCAGTGGCATGATCTTGGCTCACTGTAACCTCTGCCTCCCAGGTTCAAGTGATTCTCCTGCCTCAGCTTCCCTACAAGTTCCCAGGAAATACTAATGCTGCACCAGGGACCACATTTTGACAACCACTGCCTTAGATATCTGTGGAGTCAACTAATTACCCTCTGTCTCCTTGTTAGCTGGATTACAGGCATGTGGCACCACACTCAGCTAGTTTTTGTATTTTCAGTAAAGACAGGGTTTTCACCATATTGGCTAGGCTCGTCTTGAAATCCTGACCTCAAGTGATTCGCCTGCCTTGGCTTCCCAAAGTGCTGGGATTACAGGGGTGAGACACTGCACCTGGCCATAAAATTCTTTTGTTTCTATTCATCTATGATTAACTTTGATCAGAAACCAGTTGAAAGCTCAACTCCTGTGGCTGGTGGCAAGTGTTATTTTAGCATACAACTCAGCACTTGTATTCCTTTCCACAATCTACCAGGAGTCAATTTAGAAAATACCTGTGAAATAAACTCCTGAGAGAAAAGGGTCCCATGGTTCGGGATCATAGTTTGCCCACAGTGAAGGATGTGCTCAGAAAACAAGGAGACAGAGGGTAATTAGTTGACTCCACAGATATCTAAGGCAGTGGTTGTCAAAATGTGGTCCCTGGTGCAGCATTAGTATTTCCTGGGAACTTGTAGGAAATACTCATATTCTTAGGCCTCAAACCAGACTTCTGGATTTGAATCTCTGGGGTGGGTCCCAGAGATCCAGGTTTTAATATGCTCTCCAGGAGGTCCCCATGCCACTCAGGTTAGGGAACTGCTGCTCAAAGAAGTGGGCAGGGGCAAGGCTGCACCCTCTAACGAGCCAGCTGCCATCCCAGCTAGCAGCCAGCCAAGGATCTGGAAAGGGAGGCATCTTCTACATGGGGACAGGGACTGTTCCTGCCTCAGGTCTTGGCTGCTCACAGCTTTGCCGAGAACCAGGTGTTCAAGTGGCCCAGGACTTGCAGGAGAAATCACCAAGAAGATGTTATGTTCACAGAAGTTCACACCGGATGGGGTGAGCCAAGACGTGTGACTCTCTGTTGTCTCCAGGGGTTCCCCATGCTACCCCGATTCTGTTTTCAGAGCATCTTCTTGGGATGTCGGTTCTTTGCCTGATTGTGTCTCATCTGACAGGTGAGGAGGCAGGGAATTCAGACAAACAACTATGCAAAGCCCTGCAGAACATCCTAACGGGGAGAGGGTCGGGGCTCAGGGGTGGTAAGTGGGGGCAAAGAGGGAGGAGCTTCTCCTGGACCCCCACCCCACAGTGTGAATGCAGCCACTTAAGAACTTCTGTTTATAACCACTGAGGTGGCCGTGATCTCAGACTGCAAATATGATAATATTTGACGTCTATTTTGCAATCTCAGAACAAAGCTTTGGCTGCCCTAGAAAAGGGACTGGCTGTGTTCAGCAGATGGAGGCAGAGTCAGAATGGAGGGGTCAGGAGGGGTCGCAGAGAAGCCTTGTGATCAAGCTATGCAAATAGGCACCTGTGTGCTAGTCTGTACCGAGGGCCAAAATCATTTCCCATTTTCTGAAACGAGAGCCTTGGAGTGACTTCCACCTTAGCCTCTTTGGAAATTAAAGCATGGAGCTGTGATGAATGCCTTTCTGACCAGGGCATCACGGGCAGTGTAAAGATCTATGCGCTTATTTAATGATGAGCTCAGGCCAAGATCAGCCTTCAAGGGGAAACCACTGTGTCTCCTTTCTGCTCACTCCAGAGCAGGGCTTGAGAGTCCTACTAGGCTGAGAGGCTCTTCAAGTACCTCAAGTTTACCCAGCAGAGACGATATTGACCTTCCATTTTTAATCAATGATTCGTCCCCCGAGGCCACACAGAAGATGGAGACTGCGATCTTTCCTTTCTCCTTCTTTTCTCTCTCTAAGTCCTTTCCCGGTTCTGACAATGCTGTTTCCTTGGGAAAAAAATAGGTAAACATTTACATCAGACTCCCAAGGTCCTCGTTAGACCCAGTGGGGTCCCACAGCTTCTGTTTTCTTGTGGTTTCCTGAGGGAGAGAGTGGAGGAGGGAGCCATCTAAACCAAGGGTCACAGTTCCTTTCCCTCCTTAGAGGACTTGGAGAACGGGGACTCACAACGTAAAAGGATTGAGATCATCAATCAACCTTTGCATATCTTTGTGAACAGTTTAACATTTATTACAGTAAAATAATGACTGCCACGCCATGTAAAGGCAGTATAAACTCACCAGTAACCTTCAGCGTCCTCCCCTGTAATGTCAATAAGAAGCTCGTGAATTTATTCAGCTTGGGAGCAGATAATGCACAAACCAAGAAGGATCAGCATGTGTATGCCTGGTTCTTCATCCAAACAAAAACTTGATTTCAATGCTATGACTAGTGTTTCTATACTCACATATCCGGGACTCCTCTGGGTTTCTGAAAATGTCCTACTGCCTTTTTCACCAACAGGGGCAGGAAAGCCCTGTGTTGACTTACTATCCCTCTCTCCTGATGCCGCACTGCAAAAACCGTTTTACCTTCCTTTTCCCTTCTCCCACTCCAGGTCTCACTCCTTCTAAGCAACCCCCTGCAGAGTGATGCGTCTCTACCTAGAAGAGGTCCACTGAAGGAACCAGATGTTTCCATAGGAGAAATGCACAGCATGAAACTACCATACAGAGAAATACCTGAGCCATCAAGAAATAAAGTGAGAACGTGGATGAGGCTCATGAAGAAGCCAATATGCCAAACAGTGAGTACACCAGGTGTGAATGCGTGACCAGAAATGAAAACAGTTCCTGTGAATGCACGTTATACCCCAGACAGGACCAGTTAGAATAGCGTTCACCACAAGTAAATTACTTTTACTGAAACTTACAACCTGGGAAGTAGGTAGAACAGGTGTCATCAGTTCAGAGAGGAGCAAAGAGTTGCCCAGGTCATAACCACATCATGAGACAAGGTCTGGCTCTGTCACCCAGGCTGGAATGCAGTGGCACTATCACAGTCACTGCAGCCTCAACCTCCTGGATCCAAGCAATCCTCCCACCTCAGCCTCCTGAGCAGCTGGGATTACAGGCATGTGACACCACACCTGGCTAATTTTTGTATTTTTAGTAGAGATGGGGTTTCACCATGTTGCCCAGTCTTGTCTGAAACTCCTGGGCTCAAGCAGTCCTCCCGCTCCTGCCTCCTAAAGTGCTGAAATTATGGGTATGAGTCACTACTCCCAGCTGGCTTCTAGTGAGGATCTTTATTCTTCAGTGAAATAAATGCCTTTCAGGAATTCTTCACATTCATGAAAGCCAAATGCAATGAGGAAGCCTTAAGTAGCTCCTTGAGTTAAAAAAAATATGCTAGAAGATTTTTGTACAAATTGAGAAATTCGAATGGAATATGTATTAGATGGCATTCTTGAATTAGTGTCAATGGTCTTCGTGCGGTGATAGTATTGTGACTAGGTAGGAGCTGTCCTTGTTCTTTGGAGATGCTGGATGGGGGATTTAGGCCATAAGGAAAGAAGTGACCACAGAGGAAAGGAGAGTGAAGGCACCAGAGGACCTAGCTAGTCTGCTCAGGACTCCACTTAGCCAGATGGAAAACACAGTTATGAACAGATATTCATACTATTATGAATAGATATTCATACTCAGCAATACTATTGCTGAGTAATAGACCAGACCAGAACATGGAGCATAAAAAAACAATTGCTTCTTTGCTCCCAGTCTGCACTTCAGTCAGATGCTCCTCTCTGGTCCTGTGGCATCACCTCTGGTGCTCCAGTGCTGGGGGCTAAAAGGAATCACTTGCTGTTGCCTGGGTTCCTGGGTTCTCTCCACATGTCCTCTCCATGTGGTGAGCTTGGGCTTCCTCACAGCATGGCGGTCTCAGAGTAGTTAGCCTCTTTACATGACAGCTGGCTTCCCCTAAAGTGCAAAAGTAGAAGCTGCCAGATCTTCACAGGGTGAAGGCCTTGTTCTAACAAGCACTGTGTCACTTCTGCCATGGTCACAGAGCCAGGCCAGCTTCAGAGGTGTTAGATACAAGGAGAAGCTCATCGGGCTGGGGGTCACTAAACAGATAGTTTACCACATGTAGGGATGAGGAGCTATGGTCAGTGGAAATCTATTATAGGCCAACATCCACAGGAACAGAGTACTTGATAAGACATTGCCCTAAATAATTCACCTTGAGATGGTCTGGTTTTCCCTAGAAGACAGTGAAGTCCTTGAGGTCAGGGATCATGCCAAACTCATTTCTCCATGTATCCAGTCTGGCATGGTTCCTGGGGCACAGAAAGTACTCCCCAACGATGCTCCTGGTGAATGTGTGAATGAACAAAGTGCTTCTTCTTTTTTTTTTTTTTGAGATAGAGCTTTGCTCTTGTTGCCCAGGCTGGAGTGCAATGGCGCAATCTCGGCTGACTGCAACCTCCACCTCCAGGTTCAAGCGATTATCCAGCCTCAGCCTCAGCCTCCCAAGTAGCTAGAATTACAGATGTGTGCCACCACGCCCAGCTAATTTTGTTTTGTATTTTTAGTAGAGACTGGGCTTCTCCATGTTGGTCAGGCTGGTCTCAAACTCCCTACCTCAGGTGATCCACCTCCCTTGGCCTCCAAAAGTGCTGTGATTACAGGCGTGAGCCACCGCAACTGGCCAAGTGCTACTTCTTATATTGCTGCAAAAATGCCAATGAGAAATGTTTGTGCATCGAGACTAAATGCAGGTATATCTGAGCAGAGACAAAGACTGGTCCTTGGTGAGAATTGGGACCAGGAAGCAAGACTGACAGCATTCCTAGGGGACTGGAGGGAGAGATGCGTCTGATTTCATACTGTGGCCGTGAGTGTGCTTGCGAGTTCCAGGAAGCCCTGGCCAGTGGTATCCTGTGAACACCATTTCATGAACTACCAGGATGATTAAACTGCAGGGTGCTGTGGAGGGGCTTCTAGCCCTTTTCCCTGGCACATCCCCTCACTTGAGTAATGCCTGGCTTTAAATTTGGGAAGGCAGAAGATGGCAATCGGGCTGTCTGTCAGTGTCATCATCTGTCATCATCTTCAGGCTGCCAGTGGGACAGCTGGGGAAAAGCAGGATCAAGTTGACTGGCAGAGGGTTTTACATCTAATGAGTTTGTGTGCTGTAATAGTATAATAAATAAGGCTCTGGAGGAACGCAGCTATCACTCGCATTCCCAAACTGAGATACAGCCTTGCCAGAAGCTCACGAAACCATCTGTTACCAAATATTATTCTGTGTCAGTGGCTGGACTGGCCTGAGGACATGGACGACATCAACGGAAGGAGGCAATTGACAACACCATGTCATTCAAAAAGATTTAAAGGGAACTGCCTTAAGGAGCTGGAGATTTCCAGGTGATTTTTGAAATGCACATATAAAACCACCACCAGAAGCAGTCAGACGTGAAATCTCGGCTGCTGAATGCTAAAGAATCTTTCCTTTGGAGGAGTTCAGTTTCTGTCACTTGGGGTCAGTTCTCGAGTCATTTCATCCTTATCTGCTTGGATTTGGGGCTGGAATTAATGCAGTCCTCTTTAGTGTGTTTTTGCCAGTGTGATCCATCAAGATCTGATTGTCGCCAAAGAACTCCACCGATGACACAGCCGTTAATGACAGGAATATTGAGAGTGGACGAAAGCTTGAGTGTTGGATAGAAGCCATCAGGATTGGTAGTTGCTTGGTTTCCTCATGTTTTTGTTGTTGCGGAGAAGGAGGAGGAAGCTTACAAGCTGTCACAAATAAAGAACTGGGGCCGTAATAAATCTCATGTTGGTAACACAAGTACATGCTGAGCTATCAAACCACATGGTAATGGGGCAAGTCAGGAGGACAGAGGGGCATGGTGACCCTTTGAAAAGGAGGCAACATTAGGAAAACAGTTCCTTGTGCTCACTTGAGCCGCACATATACTAAATTTAGAAAAGCGATTCATTGGCTGGGCGCAGTGGCTCACGCCTATAAAAGCAGCACTTTGGGAGGCCCAGGGGCATGGATCACAAGGTCAGGAGATTGAGATCATCCTGGCTAACATGGTGAAACCCCATCTCTACTAAAAATGCAAAAATTAGCCGGGGGTGGTGGCACATATCTAGAGTCCCAACTACTCAGGAGGCTGAGGCAGGATAATTGCTTGAACCAGGGAGGTGGAGGTTGCAGTGAGCTGAGATCACCCCACTGCACTCCAGTCTGGGTGACAGAGTGAGATTCTCTCTCAAAAAAAAAAAAAAAAAGCGATTCATTGAAATGAAAAGTTCAAGGATAGCTAAGTCCCAGGGTAGCAAATGCAGGAGATGTTATGGGGCTTATCTGTGTAAGATAAGGTGAACCCACGAAGATTTGCCTTGGTGTGTTTATGCCTGGACAAAGTGTAATTTCCCATGTTGACAGAAGACCCTGGATTGGCCGCTGCTGGGGAGCTGCAGGGGTGGGTTTCTCAGGACAGGATTTAGTGAGGTCGATTTCAGTGCTTCATACTCACAGAATTTATCCCTCATTCCCTGTTGAGAACAGTCCTTCTCAAATGTATTTCAGGACTAGATACGGTAGAATGGTACTCCATATCCATTCCAGTGCCTTCTGGTAGGTCTAGCTATGCTGCAGAGGGGCTGGAATGGATAGTGAGCACCATTCCACCATAGCACCATATGGAAAGCAAATCTCTATATACTTCCTAGACTCCCTTGCAGCTAGAGTTCTGCTGTGCTCTACGTAGGTCCTACTAATCGGATGTGCTTGTAAGAGACTTGGAGAGTGGGAAGCAGGCAGAGCTGTGCTGCTGCTCCTGGGCTGCAAACTTGCTTGTGGTAGTGTGAGTGGAGGACCTAGTGCATTGAATCAGAGCACACAACATCCATTTTGTTCTGGACAGCTGTGACAGTGATGCTCAGCCACTCACCCTGGGCCACCCTGGCACAGGAAGCCCAGTAGTGTGGGCAGGACTGTGGCTTTGGTTGTAGCCCTCATACACCAGGGCTTCTGACCTGAATCCTCTACTTCCTCACACGTGCACCTCAAGCCTGACTCAAGACTCTGTATTCAGTCTCTCTGTTCACTGACTGGGGTCCACATACGTTATCCTTGTGCTTAGCTTGGTCCCCTCCCCCGGTTGCCTCCCATCAACCTGGTGCCAAGCCATTCTCCCAGAACCAGCCCACTGAGGCCTCACCTCAGCATCCCCTCCAGGCCAATACTGCCATCTCTCACACGCTTCAGCACTGTATCCTGTCTTGTCACCTGGTGCATTCTGTGATTTGTGTGTTTACATGTGTTTGTATCTTGTCTCTTCAAAGACCCCGGGGGGCCTGCCCCAGCCTTATTCAGCAGCCCCGGGCTGACAAAGGCTCAGCTTGCTTTTACTTGGATTCAGTGTTGGACCTGAAGCCCTGGCCCATCGACACTGGGCTCTGACCAGGGAAGCCAGCTGCTGTTTCCTCCAGCATGAGTGGTGTGATGAAAGATGAGGTGGGAGCTCCAGCTGAAGGCCTTCCTACACTGGGCACTGGGTGCTGCGATGGAATTTCTTCCCACCGTGGGTCTGCTGGTGCACCAGGTGGTTGGAGCTGCTGGTGAAGGCCTTGTGCAGTCAGAGCACTCATAGGGCTTCTTACCTGTGTGGCTCCTCCAGTGCACCAGGAGGCAAGAGTTGTCTCAGGTTGAGGTCTTGCTGCACTCGGGGCACATAGATGGCTTCTCACTGTGTGCACACCTGGTGCACAGTGAGGCTGGGGCTCTGACTGAAGGTTTTGGTGCATGTGCTGCTGACGAAGGGCTCCTCCCCCGTGGGCATCCCCTGGTGCCACCTTCAGTATGCACAGAGATTCCTGCTGCGGCGGCCAGGCTGGGGCTGCAGTGGACAACTTCCCCAAGCTCCAGACGGTTTTGGCCTCTCTCCTGAGAGACAGTTCTTTTCTTTTGCCAGGGCCTGCCTGGTGTCTTTTCATTTCTCCCCCTTTTGCTCACCTGCAAGCTGTTCCAACAGCTGTGCTCCTGTTCCCTGCTTCTCAGGCATCCCCAAATGCACAGGCCTCTGGAATCTCACTCTGAAGTCTTCTAGAGAATTCTTCTTTCAGATTTGATTATTGCAGAATCAAATTGTCCTTTTCAACTTTGGTCTCAATATCCAGCCTGGCTGAGGCCTCTCTACTCAGCCTTAGCAGAACGTCCACAACAGCAGCCCTCAGGGCAGGGAACAGATGGGTCCCAGGCAGCAGGTGGCCTCAGAGGGATGAAGTCAGAGGAAACCCAGGCCCTGCTCTCACAGTGGCTTTCTCATCCAGAGCTCATGCTGCTGTCACCAGGCCAGTTCTGAGACTTTCTGCTGTGGCGCACCAAGTTCCTATGGGAAATGCCCACACTCTGCTTTGGTGGGGGAGCTGACACCTTTAAGTCAACTTCATAGAGGCACCATTTACATGTAATAAAATGCTCAACGTTGAGTGTACAGTTTTGAGAAATGCATACACCCATGTGATCACCACCACAATTAAGAACGGAAGTGAGGCCCGGGGCGCCTCCAGGCTCACAGGGCTTTCTCCATTTGTGAACATCTCAAGCAGTTGGAGAGAGGAAACCCTGATGTGTCCTAAAGGCTCAGCAAGTGTCACCTGAGCATGCCTGGCAGAGCCCGAACCCCAGATCCTTAGCGTCTGTCCACTGCTCTGTCAAAAAATTATTTAAGCCACTTTATGGCCTATCATTGTAGAGAATCTCCAAATACAGCTCCATGATAGTTTCTGTTGTTGTATACACATCAACTCCACCCATTAAGAGGTGAGGTCCCTCCACTTGCTGGTCCCAGTAACTCGCTTGACCAGCAGAATGCAGTGGAAGTGACTTCCAAGGCTAGGTCATAAGAAGCACTGCAGCTCTGGCTGGGCCTCTTGGAAGGCTTGCTCTTGGAGGACTGAGCTGCCACATGGAAAGTCTCACTGCCTTGAAGCCACCGTGCTCTGAGGAAGCCCAAGATGGCCACATGGAAGCCAATCAGTCAGGAGCTCCTTGCCAAGCAGGAATGGAGCAAGGGGAATGAGTGGACAGCATTTCTGTGATGGCCTGGTGCATTTTTCCCATTACACCTAACCTCCATGCCAAACAAATCTATTTTACAGACTGGCTGGGAACACAGAGGAGACACATTACACGTACTTGCTTGTTGGGCTCCTGTTTCTAAGAGCTCATGCTGACTGTTCTTAATTGTGGTGATCACATGGGTGTATGCATTTATCAAAACTGTACACTCAGCACGGAGCATTTTATTACATGGAAATGGTGTCTCTATGAAGTTGACTTAAAGTTGTCAGCTATCTCTCTGGGGGCCAAGTCATGCCACACGTCTTAAGGTGGGTGGGGTGTGTGGTGACTTCTACAGATGTCTTTGATACCTGGCTTCATGGAGCCCAAACATTATAAATTATCAGAGATCTTTAGGGGGAAAAAAATCTCTTGAGCTGCAAGTGTCTAATGTATTAGGTTGAAGCAAAATTGTGGGTTTTGCTATTTTTAATCCCCAGAATCACAAGTACTTTTACACCAACCTAATAATCAGATTCGTCCTGTACTCCTGTGCGACTCATCCAGTGAATCCTTTGAGAATGAAGTTGATGTTTAAGTAAATCTTCTCCTTTAAAAACTGAGGGGAAACTTCCTAATGCATACTCAGCAGAGCTACCTGCGTTCAGAACGGATGACAACTCCTGTTTGTCCCATCTTGCAAAAGAGGACAGGCTCTCCTACAAATGATGAATGGGGAGCTTTTGTCCCCTCTGGCTTTGGTCCCCTGCTTTGCCTGGTTCCTTTTCTTCCTCTAAGTTGACACCCCCTTCACTTCAGATGTCCAAGACACCCCAGGCTCTTCTTGGGACACTGTCTTATTAAAGTTGGGAAAGATATAAAGTTAACTGTTACATTTATGCTTTTCTCTTCTCCTCCTCCTTTTTTTCTTTTTTTTTTGAGACAGATTCTTGCTCTGTTGTGAAGATTGCAGTGCAGTGGTTGCAGCCTCAACCTCGCAGGCTCAAGTGATCCTCCTACCTCAGCCTCCCTAGTAGCTGGGACCACTATGGCCAGCTAATTTTTTTTATTTTTTGTAGAGACAAGGTCTCATTATTTTGCCCAGGCTGGTCTCAAACTTCTGGGCTCCAGTGATTCTCCCTCCTTGGCCTCCCAAAGTGCTGGGATTACAGGCATGAGCCATCATGCCCAGCTCATTTATACTTCTTGATCCATTATTTAAATTTCAGCTTCACTTTCAATCCAGGAGTTTTGAAGCTACTGTTAAGTTTGCCAACTTGACCCGCATTCCTATTTCAATCCCTATAGGCTTTGCCTCCCTATGTCATAGAGGTGAGAGTATGCAGCCGTTACGCTAACATGTGACCTAGGACCTCCCAGTCATATACACCCGTCAGACCTGGATGTAGGAGCAAACTACAAGGATGATCCCTCTGTAGAAGAACTTGGCCTTCCAGCAAGCACAGCAGCAGAGGAGTCAGGTTCTCCCAAGCAGTGAAGGCCGAGTTTGTGACATCACAGTTGGCAGGCAGTGGAGGCAGCAGCACTCTCACTAGAATAGGAGCTGGACATTTTTTTTGTGTTTCATTGTAGCAGCTATATGAACACACAGCTTAGCAGGCTAGTTCTCCTGGATATTCTGGTGTTGTCAAATACTTCTCAAAAAAATCCCTTTCTTAGATTAAATCATTATTTAATCTGAGCTAGAGTGGACACTGTTGTATGCAACGATGGACTGACCATTACAAGTGAGGCTGGTGACCAGGCAATTGTATTTTAAGTGTCATCTCTCATCATGAACCAAGAACCTTTTTATTCAGTGAAAAAAATTTCAGGCATCTGTGAC